GCAGCTGATGACGTCATCAGCATGTGACCGTGAAATGGGTCACATCTTCGGGCGCACTCATTTAGAAATACGCTAGTGTTCACACAAGACCTCAAAAAATGAATTGTGAACTCAGTACGACAATGCGTTAAATCAAAGTAAAAATACAGGGGCTTTCTTACTATGGTGATGGATGCTTTAAAATATATAAAGCACCAGAAATCCAATGCATAGAGCTCTACAAAAACGATTCGAAAGCCAGCGCTTAATGTGATCGGACTGCGCACTATGCAGCGCTAACCCACTTCTCAAGTGGCAACAAAATATGCGCACTTATCCTATTGCCAAGTGCTGCTTGAGTAGTGAGTGTGCAGAACAAATGATACAATGACATGTAATATATGAATATAATTGCACCCTGAAGCATCAATCCGAGTCACAGAAGTTCAAGATGCACACGATGCGAGTGGTCTGATACAAAACGCAGCAGCATAGCGCACTTATATATGTTTTGGACAGCCAACACTGACTCATCGCAATCGGATTTCAACGCATTTGCTTCCCCTGGAATTCAGGATCAGGAACAATACATGCTCCCATTTCAAGTTTACTTCTGTTCGTGCTGCAACTGTGGGCTTATGAGCTTGGCAAACTTCAGCGATTGATGTGATTCAGCTGGCCATTGAGCTGTCAAACGCTAGCTTGCTCTGCTAGTTGGGGGTTCATTTCAATTTTCAATGTTGAGGTTAGAGCACCACTTGTGCGAGCGGAGCGCATCACAGATTCACCTAAGAGGAAAATCGGCCATATGAGGAGACCAGGCTCTTTTACTATAGAAGATGCACGATGGCGACAGTCAAATCTTTAATTGCTACTCTCAGCTCCATTTAGAAAACGGCTGCCTCAGGGTTTGTGTATGAGACTCAGGACTGTCACAGCAATCCTCTGCACTTAGTAGTATCCTCCAGGTCAGCAGCGCATCTGAGCCTCTAGTGCTGAAAATGAGCCATAGCATGAGTCTTTCAAATATTCATCTGGATCATAAAACCCAGATGAAGCTGAACTGGCTGGCGTGAAGGTGTGTTCCTTCTAACTATCCACCACGCAGGATGTAGCCATCAGACAGGCTGAGCTTTCGAATACCTGGGCCTTTAAGAATCACGTTACACGGATTCGATAAACCGAATATATTGTCATATCCACATCATGGGCATCGAGATCACGAAAATGTGACGTTGAAATGTACAGATAGTGTGCATAGTCAACATCAAGGTGGTTTATTAGCAGTGCAATCCACGATGCATCCAAGTCAATTCCATACATTGGGAGCTTATATAATGATGTGACGTGTGTGCTTAATAGCACTGCAATGCCCGTGGATACGGACATTCTAATACGCCACAAATGGTAGCACCTAACTGAGGTCCATTGAACAGTGGAGGCATCAGCAGATGGCCCCACAAGGCCCCCGCGAATATAGTACGCTGGGCAGCGCCAACTAGAACGCATCATTTGATCCAAGTCCTGCGCATTATCCAAAGAGGCTCTCGGCGACCGAGCAATTGCGCAGGCGCACTGATCCTCGATTGCCCGAAGGCGACAGAACTGCATTACAATATTTCAAAAGCCAGAAAAGGAAGCCAGCGAACGGTCTGCTGGCTGAAACACAGCTTTGCGACAAATCAACGATAGGCAAGTGCTGGGCAGAATGTGATGCACATGTCCGCAGCGTCCAGCCGCGCGAGTGGATTTTGCCTGCTTGGGTCTACTCGACCGGTGATCGAAGCGCCTCACTGGAGGCAGATGTCGAAGAGAGTGAATACTACCAAGGCTAGAATGGAGGATGAATGGAGAAGAGGCTGCGGGCCTGCGGCCCATTGACCACAACGCCCTGAGTCTCGTGCTGACAGCGTGAGTGCGGTTTGAGAGTGTATTTTGGGCGTATGGCGACATTTGGCTCATGAGATATATATGAGACTCACCGCGATAACGATATCCTGGTCTACGCCGTGCACAGCGATGGGTGAGAGCCCGCCGTCGCCAGGAAATCGCAGAGAATGGCCTAGGGGTCGTCGAGGCCGTCGGGAGGTGTGCGGGCGGGCAGACAGCGCGGTTTGAATGCATGGGAGCGCACGGGAGAGAAGGCTGTGATCTGAGTCTGAGCACATGATCCACCGGTCGCGACTGCGGGAATTTATAGCGTCCTCGGATGCTGCTCCAACTTGAGCGCGACGCTATCTCCAGCCCGCTTATAAGCTCCCCCTGCCCCGCCAGTAGGCACTCGCCCTTGCGTCTTTCCATCGTCTACACCTACGACCATGTCTCAAGACCTCAAGCGCCGTGCTGACTCCCCCGGTGGTTCCTCGGGGGGCAACGTCGTCGATCACATCGCGGCTAACGGTGAGTCGCCCGAGGCTGACCCGTCCTGAATCCGTTCTGACGCTCTGGCGATCATCTAAGTGACGGACGATGTGGAGGCTTCGGCCAGGAGGGGAACCGCAAACGGAGAGCCTCATGTCATCAAGGTGCAGCCGTTGAAGCGGAGCGAGATGCAGGTATGCTGTTGCCTCCCTCTTTTTGCTGTCGTGCTTACCTACTTTCCCGCCTCAGCCCTCCTACGCCCAAGATCTTGGCACCTCTGAGGTCAGTCGCGTGTTGCATACCATTGGGTTTGTTAACGTGGATCTCTGTGTCTCAGGTCACCCATGGTGTATACGGTTCAATGATGCAGGCCTTGGGTTCCTGCATCGGTTTCTGCGGTGCTATTCCCTGCTGCCCGCTTCCCAGTCCGTTCCGCAACATTCCTCAAGGTTTGTCATACCGGTCATGGGTAGTCGTTTGTTCTAAATCTTGGAAAGGGTCCGTTGGGTTGGTCACCAGGTTCGGCAAATTCTACAAGTCGGTCGACCCTGGTCTTGTCCAGGTCAACCCGTGCACGGAAGGCGTTCGTATTGTCGATGTCAAAATCCAAATTGCCTCCATTGGCAGACAGAAGGTCATCACCCGTGACAATGTCGACGTCGACATGTGCGTTCTCAAACCTCTGATGCTGACTGTATTGCTGACACGTTTCTTAAGCGATTCGGTAATGTACTTCCAAATCACCAGCCCCTACCGCGCTGCCTTCGGCATTTCCGACCTCCGCCAGGCACTCATCGAGCGTGCTCAAACAACATTGCGCCACGTTGTCGGCGCGCGCGCTGTGCAGAGCGTCGTCACTGAGCGTGAAGCTATCGCGTTTGAGATCGCTGAGATCGTCGGTGACGTCGCCGACAAGTGGGGTGTTGCCATTGAGGGCATACTCATCAAAGACATCGTCTTCAGCCCTGAGGTCTCTGCGTCACTCTCCTCCGCTGCACAGCAGAAGCGCCTCGGAGAGAGCAAGGTCATCGCCGCTCGCGCTGAAGTTGACGCCGCTCGTCTCATGCGCCAGGCTGCGGACATCCTCGCTTCCCCTGCTGCGATGCAGATCCGTCAGCTCGAGGCGCTCCAGACAATGGCCAAGACCGCGAACAGCAAAGTTGTCTTCGTTCCCATGCAACTCCAAAGCGACATCGTTGGCCAGATGACGGCGCATCCCGTGGCATCGGGGTCTGGGTTGAGAGAAGAGACTGGAGAGGGGATCGGAGCAGCCGGCCGCGCTGGCTTGCTCAACAGCGTTTCTCAGATGTAAGATGATGGTTGCGATGTTGTGTGTTTGTCCCACATTGGTACCTTCTCTGGCCAAGATCTACGTGCTCTCGCTCTTCTTGCTTGCGTTCTGTAACCTCTTGACGATGCCTATGTAAGACAGGATACGTCGTGCTAATGTTTGTATGACCCTAGTAACGTTGAATATACCATTCGGACTCGGCCAATTAATTGTATACCGACTACATCAGGTTGTGTGGGATGCTACATATTCACTATCGTCTTGCCAACATCCAATTCAGTGATGCATTGCAGGTACGGCTAAAATGAGTGTAGTGAAGCCCTGCACAACGTTCGTGATTGCCAGTGAGCTGTTCTGAAAAGGACTCAGGTAGGTGTAAAAGTATTGCTCACTATTCCACACCAGAGACCAACATACAGCATCTCCCGCAGAACTCGAGCATGTGCAGCTTGGATGCGCGGATCGAGCACAGCCCTCTCAGGGCCAAATACAGGCGGACGGCGGCGTATGGTCGGACTGTCATGCTCGTTGCTGTTCTTCAAGATGTCGTCTTCACTGTGCTTCCTGTATACCTTCCTCGACCAGATATGTGTCCGAAGATGTGGATGCTGCGTCGACAGCGTGTCGTGTCTCTGCCGTGCATCGCGCGAGGATGACCCGATGCTGCTCGCGAGAGTAGACTCGACCGGAGACTCCACGAACGGTACAACAGCATCTATCGCAGGCTGCGCAGGACCGATATATACAGCGGGAATGTCTGTTCCCGCGTCCATCGCGACTGCTTCGGTGTTGACGTCGTCTCCCGCGTCCCACGGTGCGCGCTGAGACATACGTACCATCTCCACCTCATCTCCCTCACCCCTGTTCCGGCTGCTGGCGCAATTCGCATCATCAGGCTGCAGGACACGCCGCCAATGGGCAGCGGCTTCTTCATCCATGTCTGCCAGTTCCCACTCGCGCAGCTGCGTATGGCCACGGCCGAATACATCACTGCAGAATCTGCATGGAGAGCATGTTAGCACGCCCGCACATGCAGTTATGGTCAGCGTACCCCCTGATGCCGGAGTGTATCTGCATTAGTCCAAGCGTAACAAACGGCACTGAGAAAAGGCGCCATGCACGACTCCTCTCTGGTGGAGCGGGCAGCGACTCGATGAGCGCCAATCCAATAGCGAGCCCAACGAACGTGTATGTTAGGCCGCATGCATACCAATACAATTTTTTCGGCCAGTTGACGTTGGTCGATGCGAGGTTAAGGAAGCGTGCAAGGCTGACGGTCTCGAGCATCGTATATATTTCCTCGTAAACCGGGAGGAACTGCAGAGGTGAATGGCCCCATTACACATTTGGGAGGAAGTCAAGATAAAGAAAGTCAACGCACAGTATCGGGATGGGTATTCCAGGTCAGATCGCGGACCACCATGTCGCGCACGACGGGATCGAGTGGGAGCTCTTTTGTCACACCAGGCCGCAAGAACGTCGCTACCGCTCGCATACATTCTGCCCGTAACGGCTGCTCCGCCGGCGTTCTTGCGCCTCTATCTGCGGTACTGTTTGCACTTTCGCATAGCAGCGGCATTCCCAGCGCTGGCGGCATGTCGTCGCGCCAACGGGGAGAACCGGGGAAGTAGTTCGACTCCGTCCCAGCAGTCCCGCTGAAGTACAAGAACGAAGAATTGTGCGCGGAAGGTGTGGCAGGTGTATCGCCTATGTGACAGAGCGCATTGCGCTCGCTCTCCGCGACACGTTGGGCAGTCCGTGCGGGTGTCGGAAGCGCGAAGCGAAATTGCCGGGGGCCAGGGCTTGCTTTTTGTATTTCGGACGGAAGCTCAAAGAATCGTCGCCGGTAATCTTGGAACCAGACAACGAATTGGAGATTTTCCAGGGAATATTCCTGATACTATATGAGTGATGTGACAATCGGATCGTAGTCGATGGCCTACCTTGTGATACAAGTATGCTTCAAAGCTTCGAAGACTGCGTAACGAAAGGTTATCAAGGGATGAGAAAGCAAGGAAAGCCAGACAAAGGCAGTCTCAAGCTAGCGCTTGCATGTTATGATGGGATAGAGGATAGATATAGGGCCAAAGAGAGGAAACTCTGAGGTCTCTAACGATTGGTAAGATTTGCACGAACCTAATAGGATAGCAAGTGTCTCCCGCGAGGACGTTCGCAAGGGTGATGCCAGATAGTGGGGACTTTGGAATCATCATGGCTTTGAGACGTTGAAAGGGCACTGTGGACATTGTGCTCCATTTGGAGCCTAAGCTATCGCGCTGGATAGACATGTTACGTGATGCTGTGGAGATGTCGGTTCGGTGGACAGAATTTACAGATGGGCGAGGTTATGAGCAGGCGGAACCCACTCGAATTGTGGACGGCGGACGAACAAGATTGGTGCGGAAGGCGGGAACGAAGGGACGTACGGGTTGAAATAGTCTTCTGCAGCGATAGTCTCATGCTGTGACAATGGGCGGTTATGCTGCTAATACCTCGAATATATGCACCGTAACAATAAAAAAGAATGTTATGGGGCGGGAATCGATGGTTCCATTGGAAATGCCGTTAGTAGAGCTAACTGGAAGCTTTAGGTGATCAGAGATCTGAGCGATGGCGCCCCGCGCTGCTCGCGATCGCCGGGATGCGGCCCCTGCTGTTCTATATGCCGTAACGCTGTGTAGCAGAATATGTAGTGAAAACCGTCGGGGAAGAGACTCCGAATTAGTCAAACCCTCACCGCGAGGCACTGACTAAAAAAAAGTAATGCCCCCTCACACATCAACTCAGTGTCGGCTCCAACGAGGGCCATGCCAAGTTCTCTGTCGGGAGATGAGCCGTAGATCGGGGGTCAAAGACTTAGAGGCGATCATATCGCACCCCCCCCCGGTGTCTGTAGACAAACTTCATCAGGTATGTTTACTTTATGGAAGACCGCAATTCTACCGCATCTCAAACAATATGTGTCAGACTGCGCGTGTGAGTCAAAATTAGCATGTGCTCACCTAGACCGCATGTTGATCGTCCTGTCCAGTGTCATGCTGGCAGGCTGAAAGCAGCCAATCACGCTGATAGTCAGTACCAATCAAAGCCAGCTAGTTGCACGACAAAGTCGTCAGCCCATTACACATAGAGTAAGACGTCCGTCTTGCGACTCAGCTCCACACGTAGCCAAACAAGAGGAAAGGATGCTCTTGCCATGCATACGCCAATGTGTCAACAAAACATACATCGCGCCAATCCGCGTGATAATACAACACAAACTGAATCGTAATGCACATGAGAAGATGGCAGACGTACATCTAGCAAATCACTCAAGAACCTCTTCTTCAGTCTGCTCAATGACCTCGTCGATCCACAACTCAATTTCTTCCTTTGACTCTTCCTCCTCGTCCACGTCAATTTTCATTCCACGACGCCGGCGTTCCTCGACCACCTCTTCCTGTACCGTCGTGCGCCATGCATTCCACTCATCCACGAGACGCTTGCGCTGTGCGATTAGCTCGGCGCTGATATTGCTCTCCTCGGCAGCATCTTCCTCGTCGAATGCTCGGCTGTACTCCTTGAGATTTCGTCGGATCTGCCGCTGCTGCTCCTTTGTGAGCAGAGAACGCGGCCGTGGCCGCCATAGAAACTGCTTGAATCGATCCAGGATGTGTTTCTCGAGCTCCTGTCCGCGGAAGTCCCAGATAGCATAGCCATTTTCGAGCTAAAGATAATGTCGCATAAAGAGTGAGCTTAACATAGAACGATTTGAAATATACTACGTGATAGCTCACCGTGTGTCGCCATGCACTGGCACTCGTCGCCAAGTAGCGCCCACTGGGATCCCACTCTGCATCTGTCACAGCATAGTGATCGGCAGTACCGAGGTGCTGAATGCCACTACCCCATTCATCTTTTGACGGACCCTCCCGGCGACCGACATCGTCGGAAGTGAAGTCCAGATCCCAAAATTCGAGTTCGGACTTGCTCGACGACCCGATTGTCGCCAGAACAACATGCCGGCCCCGAGGAGACCAGCGCACAGTATTGCTAGTTCTTGAAGATAGTGTCCCTGATTTTGAATGTAAGCGTTATCGTCTGATATGCTGTCGCGAACACTCACGGAGCAGCTTGAAGTCGCCCTTCCCTCTGACGAGCTGATAGAAGCTAACATCGGTCTTGATCGTAATTCCGGGGCCAGGGTTGCCGAGATTCGGATCGCTACTAGATATAAGTGCGAATCTCTCGCCCTTCGGCTCCCAAGAGAAATCGGTCACTGCATCTAGATGCAAGTCATTATTCAGATGTTTGTGTATCTATGGCTTATAGCAACAAACCTTTGAGTTCAACAACTTCCACTGGGAAATCCTTTTCGCGGACACGGAAAATCTCCAAATTACAGAAGATTGACTTCTTTGTTTTCGTATGGCGATCTACCTTAACACACAGGAAATCCCCTTGGTTCTGCCAGTAGAGCCGGCACTATGAAGAAGCTGTGACGATAGTCGTTGGTTCGAGCATAAAACATGCGTACCTCCGTAACATTGAACAGGTTCTTCTGCCGTAGAATCGTCCGACTGGGGAAATTCATCAATGTCACACGCGCGGGCTGATTAGCAACCTCCGGCGTCCAGTAAGCTAACATATTTTCTTTCGGTTTTTTGCCGGTTTTTCCATTTGTCGCAGTCTTCGCTTCAGCGTCAGCCTCTTCGCGATCCTTATCGCCGTGGGGGCACCATTCGAAGTCGACAACACCCTCAATCTTGATACTCTTCTTTCCCTGCAGACCCATACTCGGAAGCTCATAAACGCTGATCTGTTGACCAGGAGTCACACGTGCAACAAATTTATCGTCTGCGCTCCATTTCAGTGCAGGCCACTGCAATTGTTTCTTCGTATCCTCGCCGTCGGGGTAGATTGTGGAGAACGTTCGGAGCAGGTTTCCGGTTCTGGCATCCCAGACAGCAATGTTGTTGCCTTCGTCTTCGGGAGAAAAAAATTGGGGGCCCTGCTGTGCGCCTTCGGGAACCAAAATGGGGTCGTGCGACCAGGTTACAACGTAGTTCTCGTTAGGGGAGAAGTCGATGAGCTTGACCATAGGGTGCGCAAAGCGCTGTTGCTTCCCCCACGATGCGCCACCCCAAAGCTGGACACCTTGACGATGGAGTGTCGCAAGATAGGTACCAAGTGGTGACCATGACACATACAGATCGGTCCAGTTCTAAAAAAAATGATTTGAGAAGGAGGGTTGTAAACGAGCTATGAGACGCACAGTTCTGCTGAATGCCACTTCACACTGAGACGGTTTTCCTTGCCAATGCATCTCAACGTCGTCACCACGGTAGGTAACATACTGATCTCTGCCTTGAGGATCACCCAACCAAGCGCGAAGGTGTTCCTGGATATACCAATGAGACCCGCAATCCAAGGGGGGCTACAATCGATTTACCTTGGACTTGTACTCCTCCTGTTCTGGCTCGATATACGCCTCTTCTATGCTTGCGTATCGCTCGATGTCCGTAAATCGATTGATTTGGAATGTATGCCTAGCATCAAAGGGGTAGCCGTGCATGGAGCTCAATGCAAACGCAGCATCATTGGCATTTTTGAACTCGATGAAGATATATCTGTATGACCACATGAACACAAGCAATTGCGATCGAAGTGGTGCCATACCCTTTGCTCTTTCCCGTCACCGCGTCCCAAGGCACTGTAATGTCGTCCGCTTTGATAGCGGCACCCTTACGCGAGAATTCTTTCGCAATCTTGACAAGCAGCTTGTCCAATTTCGATTTGTCAATGACTGGTACGCCGTCGACCACAATGATATTGTCAAAGCCCTCTTCATATTGCACTTGATATCTGCAACACTTCAGACAAAACAAATGTAGCATACAGGAAGGGACGCACTTTGCTTCTATGTCCGAATAATCGATTTCCTCATCCTCTTCAAAGTGGGTTCCGTTCACACCATTTACGCCGTTTGGGGCCATGGTTACTGCGATGTTTTGTTCAGCAGGTCGATGTCCTGGTGGTAATTACAAAGCCGAAAGAAAAACCGACAGCAAGAAAGGACACAGATTGCCCTCTTCCAATCGGTACAGAGATTTTAGCATTCAGTCACAGTCACATATGATCTGTCACAAATGTGAGACGCAGTCGCGCAATTGCGGGACCACATTACACTCAGAATTATGTATCAACAAGGTCCGCATCAGATAGGACAGCACACTTTCGATGACATGCAACAGAAAACGAGAGTATTACAGTTATAAAAAAACAAAACAACACAACTTGAACGGAGCGGGGAAATCGCGAGACGTGCGGTCGACTTTGTAACAAGAGCGGAGCTGTGAACACAACGATGCAATGCAAACGAAGACGTATGTAACAGATCTCGCATGCAGACATAGAACGCGACGACGAGGGCATAATGAACAAGACTACGGGCGACGCGGGACCGGGAGTGCGAGAAGAACGTGGACAGGAACGGATAGTAGAGCCTAGAAATGAATTCATTGACGAAAAGAAGAGCGATCGCAGTCCGATATGACAAAACCAGACGGAAATGTGAATGAACGAATTTGATAGAGATATGGGATATTGAACACGATATTTCGACCTCCAGAGATTAACTCATGGCGACGACGGCAGCGTATGCGCGCTTTCACCGCCCTTCCACATCCCTGGACTATTGTTGAGGTCCAGACTAGCGAGTGTACCATTCAGGTCTTGAATGATATCGTGTTCATGTTCTTGGCCTATGTATTGATCTTGGCCGTGTGAACCTGTTCGCGAAATGTCCGGCCTAGAGATATGTGTCTCTTGCCTAGAAGATGCCCGGCTCTGCTGAAATGGCGACGTCGTAGAGGTCGTCTCCCCTAGCAATGAGTTGAACCGCTGCGACGCGCTCGGAGGACGGATGTTCGGCAAGGTCGTTGGAGAGGCTTTTCCACCACTCTGCGCTGCCTTGTCATCCTGCATTGAAGTGTACCACGACGAAAAGCCCTTTGATGGATTTACAAACGGTTGCGGCTGGACAGAATTCAACTCCTGATTCTTCGCGCCATCACCAAGATAATTGGGGTCAGGTGAGAAAGGCGAGAAGGTAGATGACGATGCGGTGTTACTACTCTGCTGACTGAGCCCAAATATCGGTGGCTTGAACGCGGCCGCGATAGCTGAACGGGGAGCTTGTACGTACACGGCGGAAGCGATGGCAGAAGTGTCGATTACAGGCGGTGGCGGTGGCTGTCCTACTGTGCCATTGCTGAGGACGTGCGTAAGACCGAATTTCTCCAAGAGCTGGAGGGCCTGATCTGGAGTCAACGCCGGACTGTTTTGGACAGTAGCCTGAGTTTGATATTGGGCTTGAAAAGCGGCGGCTTGAGCGGCCTGTGCTGCAGCTTGGGCAGCTTTATCTATATGAAAGGTCAGGTACGAGAAAGGGTCGAGAGAGGTAATAACGTACATTGACTGCGCCCCCAACTTAACCTAATCCTACTACCACCAATGGGAAAGCCTTGCATCTTCTCGATAGCCCTTTCTGCATCCGGCTTACGAACAAATTGTACAAACCCGCAATGTTTACCGACAGGAACCTTCACCTGAACCGAGAATGTTAGCGGATTGATTCGACATCGCGTCGCAAATGTCACTCACATAGTGTATGTCACCGAACGGTGCGAAGAATGTCCTTAGTGTTTCCTCAGATATCAGTGGCGACAAGCCTCCGACAAATACGGTAGTGTTGTATGGGTCAGACGACGTGAGCTGCTCGCCATTGGGGCCGATGAGGTTGGACAAGATTGCTCGAGCCTGCGCGTGGTGCTTCCAGGACTCCTCCGAGATATTGTACTTCTGCGCCATAGCCTGGTCATGGGTGGTTTGGGCAAATGGGGCAGACACAGACGGTGCGCCTCCATTGGTTGAAGAACTGGACCCAGAGCTGCCACCATTGCCGTACTGTGCTGCTACTTTGAGAGCGTCGTCAGACGAAGTAGAAGCCAATGTTGCGGAGGAAGTCGTGCTAGACCCAGAACTTAACGACGGCGCTGAGAGGGAGGAATTGGAGGTGGAATTGGAAACAGTATGTCCATTCGACGTAGAAGAAGCCGACCCGGCTAATGGAGCAGACACACTCTTCGTCTGGTTGTTGCTAGGAACAGGCAACGCAATGGTAACCTGGCCTTGCTGGTCGGGCATCACAGCAGCTGGAGGGGGGACAAGAGGGAACGACATCTGAGCGAGTTCCAGACTAGTCATCCCCGGCGCCGGCTTGAATTTGGCGGTGGCAGGCGAGATGCGCACTGAAAGTTTCCACATAATCAGTAAGGCGTCACAATGAGATAGGGGTATACATACTGGGTCGTGAGAGGCAGTAGAGGCCATGCATCTCTATCAACGCGCGTTGCTGATCTGTTTCATCCGTGAACCTGTTTCGGCGAACAATGGGTCAATTCGTGGCGTGGAAATCAGAAGAATAAGCGCACCTGACGAAGCCATATCCCCGCGATACACCTGTTACCGGATCCAGCATGATTTTGGCACTCTTGCAACTGAGAAAAGGGCGGATAAAGCGAGGTTCCCTATCGTTGCGCAGGCCAAGCACTGGGTTACGGAAGACCGCTACGAGATCTGAGTTGGACACCTCTGGAGCAAGGTCACCGACGAAGATGCTATATTCTTTGGGATACTGAGGATTCTGTCCAGTTTGGAGAGTGGCGGTCTGTCCCGGAAGCGCAGATGCTACCGGTGGAGAGGGGATAGACGATGTCCAATTCAACGAAAAGGGTTTCGAGGAATTTGGCATTATCATTGCGGGCGAGTTACTGCTGCTGTTAATCTGCGAGAGAACAGACGCGGCATGGGCCTGAGATGGAAATGTGAGGAAGCAGTAACCTGGGTTGTTCGCCTGTTGACCAGTGACAGTATCCGGTGGAGGACGCGGGACTTTGATGTTAACGGGATCCCAACCCATGAGGTTACAAACCTGCTTAGCATATTCTTCGTCCATCCAGGGTTCTAGTTCGCCCCACCAAAGAGTAGAGCGGGACGAATTCGTGGGGGATTGGGATTGCGCGTGCGAGGAACTAGGCTGATGGTGTGGCTGATGCTGAATATGGCGGGTTAGATATAAATCACGCGTATCTGGTGTAGATGAGAGGAGAGGAGACGTGTAATGCTCTTGGACGGGGGGACCGCGAGGAGGAGGCGGGGTATGATGGTTGTGGTTGTGGACGAAGGGAGAGAGGGATTGTTGAACTTGAACATGAGATGCCACACCGCCGCCTTCGGAGGTATGCTTGTTGACGTTCGTTGCCGAAAGTGTGGCCGGCTTTGAAGTCCAGCTGTCACCAGCCCCGCCGACGCCGATGTCCTGCGAGGCATTGTGCATCCGGGGAGCAACAAAGGAGGAATATCCGGCGCCGGAGCCAGAGACATTCTGCGCCGTCGATGTCAAAGGCCGGCGATCGGCCGAGAAGGGTGGCGGCGGTGACGAGACGTAGTAGTTGGCCGGAAGAAGGCGCGAGGACGGGTCGCGCAGGCTGTCGGGCAGTCGGTTATCGCGAAAGCTGGTCAGCTCGCGCATGCTAGGACCAAAGTCCCGCGACGAGCCATGGGCGGTATGATCGCTGATTCCCCGGCCGTCGAAGAGAGAAAGGTCAAAGTCGTGTGGAAGTCCATCGGGACGTGACATGTCAAGAGGGGCGTGGAGATCGAAGCAAGATCAGAAATGGGCGGCCTGGTGTTTTCTTTTTCTTTTTCTTTTGTTTCGTTTTTGCTTTCTGTCGCCTTGTAACGCAAAAGGGACGAAGGACTTGAACCGACAGCGAGGAAAAGACAATGCAGAGATGAGCACTAGAGCTATACGCAAACGACAGCGACTCGGAAAGAAGAAAGAATTTCGACAGCGATGCGAGATGACGAAAGGTGACCCGGTGGGTCAATGTACTGTAAACAAGAACCCTCTAGCTGTTGGGAGGAAGGAAGATGACAGGAGGGAAGAACGACGGGTTGCGGAGTGGCGGAGTTTCTGAGCTGTTTCAATCGCACGCGAGTCAGCGATCTGCCGTCTCTGTCTCGGACTCCCATGAGGCTAGCAGATGCAACGCTGGCGGAGTACTTGGCGCTAGACATTCGGCTAGCTGGCTCGGCCAAACTAGCTATACTCGGTAATTTTTCATAGTCTCCTCGGCCAATCCAGTTGTACAACATACAGAGCGGAAAGTGCGCGAGGAATGACTCATGTTTACACAACGTTAGACCTAACCTGAGAAGGAAGGCGCAGTTACCATTTTGAGACGGCGGTTGCGTCGAGATAGAATCTAGTGTGTGCATGTGTGGGTCCGCACCTGCACTTCGTGGGTATGGCGGCAACAGAAGCGCTTACCGACAATGTTGAGAACTGAAAACCATCAACAGGCTGAAAACATGAGTGCGCTTAAAACCAGGGACAGGAAAGCTCGCTGTTTAGTTTGCCCAGTTACGAGAGTATGCTAAGTGGTTTCTCTTGTCAATATCATGGGCCGGAGCAGCGGGGTTTCAACGCATATGAAGTTACGGGTTGTGGAGGCAACGCTAAGAAGAGTCTGGCTGTGAAGGACAACTCCGTAAACATGAGATCTACGTCGGCACAACTTACTAGTAATAATACTTTCGAATCATTCTTGAGTGCGGAACACGCGCTCCATATCGGCGATGTTACTATATTCTAATGATGGGGCTGCCAAGTGACATTATGCATCCATTTGCGCATAATGCGCATAGCAATATTGTTGAGAATGGGATGGGATAGTACTTAATGAGTGATAAAAAGTTAGCGTATACCCAGCCAGATCTTGCAAATCGCCCAATCATTCGACGGAAATGGTCACAATCTGTCGATGTGGTTTGTTCGTGAAAGCTCGAAAAAGTTCCTTCACACCAAGCTTTCTTATTGTAGCTGCCAGCTGCTGATCGCCGGTAAGCATAAGGTACCGGCGCCACAAAGGTCAACTCACCAGATTAGTGTATAACGATAGCGCTTTGATAGCGCTCATAGTACCTCGTTACAACGACAAATTGCCTCAAACGGAAAATGCAATAAACCGCGACGCGGGGCACATTTTTGGATTTACCAAGGTCAACGAGACATAGCGCTCGGAGCAAATTGGAACTCGCGAAGTGAGAGTCTTGGACGTCCGCGACTGTGAAGAGATAACCTACAGGATCATAAGTACTTGCTGCCCTACAAGTTCGTGAGAGATACCTTTTCATCAGAGTATATATTTTACCTTCAACTTGGCCTGGGTCGCGGCTTTGGAATCTTCTCTCCCGGTCAAAACTAGGTATATCTTGCTCTGAAGGGTATTTCACCTTCAGCCGCTGTTGAATGTTGTCAACGGGGCCACGTGCCACCCGAACCGACTCGGAGGTCACAAACTTGAATAGGCAACAACCGCCCAAACGTTACATTACGTAACTCGTCTAGCAGCTGTGCTCTCTCTAGATCTGTTCCAGCTTCAAGTTTCCTGATCTTCAGTACTTCGTTCTAGTCGCCTCTCATTCTCGTCGACTGGTCGTCGGGACGTTCGTAATGCCTCCTCGGCGCGCGTCCGCCACGGCGCACAATATTGCAAATTCTTCGTCGCGCGTGCACAGGAGCAATGGCTCGAATCACAGCGTGTCTGGATCGTCTCCTCTGGCCCAAGCTCAACATCTTCCATACTCCAGCTCATCAATTTCTTCAATACCCGCTACGCCACAACAAAAAGTAGTTTATGTTCTTTTGAACAGGATCAAGAACAAGGTAGGCCCATCTTCCGGTCACATCTTTTCATTGAGCATTCTCCGGCGGATCATCGTGGCTGATGTGCACATGTCATAAACTCGTTTAATGCGTTAACGTCGATATGTTTGATCTCAATAGCTCCCATGTAATTCGGGTATTGCCCTCACGGAAGTTGAAGCCGATGGCGCCCTCCAAGAAGTGGTCGAAACGCTCGTTGAAATGTCGCGGGATTCATTAGACTTCATTGGTTGGGCCTTGACAGAGTTGCTTGATAAGCTTGCGAAAGTAAGTTCCCCATGATGTTCTGTGCTATCCCGATGTCCCAACCGTGTTTCTACAGCAACAGTCCGATACCAATGGGCTCAAGAGCGTAGATGTGCTGCAATCGCAGCTATTTATTCTGAAAGTGCTGGCAATATGCATGGCATCCCGCTGGGGTCGCAACCAGGAGGACGCTCAACTCAATTCTCGCAATGGCAAGCGGCCAGGTGCGAATGTGAGCTCGAAACCCGGTACGCCAGACTCTACGGGACCCAAGCTATACGCACAGGATAAGCAGAGTCTAGGGTGGTCTTCGGATCCACTGGCGGGGGGGACCCCGGCGCCCCC